GAATTGAACCCAGGACCTCATGCAAACTAAGCATGGACTCTACCACCCTTCTACACTATTTTAATATTAAGCTACTTGAGAACAATTAAAGAGGTAAATCGGATACAACCCCCTTCCAATAAGAAATTTTAACTTTGATAAGAAATGCGGTTTTGATTAGCTATGCTAATACTCTGTCCATTTTCAGTGTGGATGAATAAGATTTGATTGTATAATTTTTGGTTATTTTTTGAACATCCTTATTTGTTCCAGTGATCTACCTAATTTGGGTTTGTTTTTGTTGTTTTTAAAGGTTGTAAGATTTTCTGTGTTTATCTTTCTATAAAGTTGATCTGTAGAAGTAGAGATTGATTCTGGCATCAACGTTATTTTTCTTATTGTACTATTGTTGAATGAGTGAGAAATGAAATCTATGTGACAGGTCTTCTAATGTGCTCTAGGAGCTCAGAGTTAATGAAACACCCTTCTTGATTTCAGTGAGCATTTAGTTTTTATAGAGGTTCTCATGTTGGGGCTTATGAACAGAGTGGCTTCAGGGAAACCCGTGCATTCCCTAAAATTATATACAAAAAAATTGTGGTGTGTATATATTTGTGGATTTCTGGGGTGAGATCCATAGAGTTCATCAGATTTTTTAAATGCGGTTGATATTTAGGAGAACTTGAGATAGAACACATCTGACCATAAATTAGTGCAGTAAATGTTGTGATAAGGATAAAGATAAAAATCTTTGGGAGATTAGCATAGACATCGGAGGTTCATCATGTTCGATGTTCTGTATAGAACCTCTTTGGTGTAAGCCTTTGCCTTGTGTCTCTCAAGCACGGTGTAGTGACTGGTGTGTAGTAATGCTTGGATCAGTGAGGGTGCTCGTAGTAATGGATGGGTTTTTTGAACTTAGTTTAATGAAAGGACTATTTGCAGAGCTGTGGGCATGGTTTAAGGTGACCAAAAAGGGATGATAAATATCCCAGGGACTAGCAACAATTGGAAATAGTTATCCACCCAGGCAAAGAGGCAAGGGAATGGGAACTATGCTCCAAAACCCAGTGAGAGCTGCAGGCGTGGAAGAGGAGCAGCTCAGTAGGAACTGTGGCCAGAGGAAGCAGAGCAGGGAATAACTGCCATGTCTCTGTCTACTTCCACTCTGCCTTTCTGCTGATGCTTCCTGTTGGGAAAAATAGTCTCCCGCGCTCAGTCTTCAACCCTGCTTGACCATGGAGGAATGGGCGGGCCTTGGTCTTGGGACACTTCTTATCAAGAGCTGAGGAGCTCACACAGCCTGTGCTTTGTGGGATCATCTTTCCCTGTACCGTGCATGCCCCCGGCTTTCAGTATTTCGGATTCCAGGGATAGTGTAGGGTACAGAGGGGGAGGGGTCCTTCTGCAGCACATGATGGGTGCTTGTGGGCTAATTTCCTTTTGTCAGCTGACTGCTGGGGGCATCCACTAGCCATAAGAGAAAGATGCACACAATTGGAGCTGATCTTACTCTGACTCTTCTCTATGTGAGTAGATCATTGTTCTGTCTAGTGCTTACTGTTGTGTTTTCCTTGGCAACTTTGATACCAAGATGTAATGGGCAGAAATGTTGAGAGTCCTCCCCTGGGATTGGTAACCAGTGCATGGTGTTTTGTTCAACACTTCCTCTCATTGGCAAAACCCAACCAGAAACTAGAGGGCAAGTGAGGACTAGGTAATGTAGTCTTTAGAGATAAGGGGAAACAAGTACAGAGCAAGTCAGAGAAGGGTGGGAAATGAATCTGGAGGGACAAATGGAGAATAATCATCAAAGTGCGCAATACTTATTTGTTGAATTAAATTGAGTTTTTAATTGTTAAACACAGTTGATCCTTAATTTAGTAAGGTGAAAAGTGATCAAATGCCTAATGGTTTGATGTTTGTGATATAAATACCTTGGCATAATAATGAGGCAACTGTTTGTCTCTTTTTTATATATTTGAATAGTCCAAGTAGTAAAAATGATATAATTATTATTAATCTATAAAAATGTGGAATTAAAATAACTCAACTTTTTCAAATATGCATTTTTCAGAATGTGAAAATTTGGATTATTTTATCTAGAAAAGACCAATTCATTTTCTAGGTCCTACCTCAAAAATCACTTTTATGAATCTTCTTTTACTGGGACAAGTTTAAGGGTTTATGAAACATTGTTCATACTTCTATTATACCACTTACGTTCAGTAATAGCTAGTTATTTTTATTAATAGTATTAAAAGTGGTTCACATTTACTGCCTGTTTACTGTTTGCCAAGGCACTGTGTAAGTCCTTTACGTGCATTATTACGTGTTATCTTCACAGTAGCCCTAGGAGTGTAGATGCTGTTGCTTGGTGCTTGGGATGCATCAGTGGATGAAACAATTCCACAAAGGCCAGAGATCTTTAAATTCTGGTATTAATATTTCTACACCATTTTGGTTTTGTGGTTGTCATTGTTAGTGTTCTCTGGTTACTCTTACAGTCAAGCACCTTTTCATGTGTTTATTAGCCATTTAGATTTTTTTTCTGTGAAGTCCCTGACCTACTCTTTTGCCCATTTTCTGTTGGATTATCTGTCTTCTTCTTCTTCCTTTTTCTTCTTCTTCTCCTTTCTTCTCCTTTCTTCTTCTTCACAGCAAAATTAAAGCCTTTATAAGAAAACAGTCATTTGATGCTTTGTAGTCTAGTTGAACAGTTTAATGGTCTCCCATTCTGCTTGGCTGATTCAAGCAGAAGTGTTAAGAATAGGTCAGAGTCTGGATAGGCAAAGATAAATATTTCTAGTCAGATGAAAAAAATAAATGATTTATAAGGAAGGAAGATAAATTCACACGTGAAACAGCTGAGTGTTTTAGTGGGACTGAGGATCCTGAAAGTGAACCAGTGGAAGATAAGATTGGAAAACTCAAAAAACCCCAGGAACCTGTGCAAAAACAGACCTCAGCAGAACATCATCTTTAAATCAATACTTGTTTCCGTTCTGTTGGGGGAGTAATTAAGTCTAGACAACCTGAAGGGAACCTCAGGGACGATCTGCCTCTCTGGCGAGCCAGCTCTAGGCTTGTCCTCTTGCCAAGGAAGGAATCTTCTTTTACTGAGGTGGTTGTCCTAGCGTTGCTGCCTGGTGAAAAGGTCTGTCTTATAACTGGAACTGAGAAGCCTAGATGGGGGGGAGGGTGTAGCTCAAGTGGTGGAGCACATTTTCAGCATGCCCAAGGTTCAATCCCAAGTACCTCCTCTAAAAATAAAGAAACCTAGTTACCTCCTCCCCTCAAAAAAAAAAAATTAAAAAAAAAAGAAGCAGCCTAGATGAACTTTCTTCATCTTCTCTATGAAGAGCTCTGTATTTCTAAGAGATAGGACCGGGTATTAAAGTTAGAGCATCTCCGTACAGTTGGTCTTTATGTCCTGATGTTTCTCATTATAGAGTCTTCCCTTGAAGATTTGGGGCTTTGATTTCCTAAGCCTTTATTCCCTTACAAAACTTGAAGACTGATGGCTGTGAGGCTTTTTGGTCTTACTATTCCTCTGGTCTCAACCTTACAACTTCTGCTGCACTGATGTGAAGTGAATCCATTCTGTTCCTTAGTGAGATTATTGTAGCTTTTTAAAAAATCTTCCCTGAATCCTACAGATTGACCTCTCTCACCGCTAATCAGACAAAACACATTTCTATGGTGTCTCTCCTTAATTCTGATCCCATCAAAAATTGACTTGGCTGCAAGTGCCTGAAAACTGAAAGTAATAGTAGTAGTTTAGGAAGACAGAATTTTACTTTTATCTCATGTAAATAGAGGCAGTCCACAGGTGCTGTGGCATCTCCGTGATCATCCAGGACAGTCTCTTTCATCTCATTGTTCTTCCTCCTTTATCCGACATGGTGCTCCAGTATAATGTCTGCATTGCAGCCAGCGCGAAGGAGGAACCGAAAAGAAGGACATTGCCTTGTCTCCTGAGAGATTTCTCAGAAGCTGCACACACCACTCTGCTTATAGCCTATAAACCAACACTTAGTAAACACAGCCATACCGAAGTCTAAGGAAGGCTTGGAAATAACACGTCTGGCTAAAAATAAGAATTTTTGATCCTGTAGAAGAAAGGAAGAATGGGTCTCGGGGGCAAACATTGATCTTTGCTACGTAAAACCTTCTTCTGTTGTGACTTAAGTATTTTCCCGAGATGGTTAAGGAGAAAAGCATAGAATAATATGGACTATGAAACCAGTTTATCAGGATGAGCTCATAACTGCAGATTCTGAATTCTTGGCTCTTACTTTAAAATGTTTTCATTAGTCTAGAAAGGTAGAAATAAACTAGCCTTAAGTTGTTCATCGCTTTTACTAATTTGGGGTAGTTTGGCTTCTTTTCTAAACATGGATATAATGTTTTATCAATTTTTTTAATGCTTATGGGGAATAATTAAGTTTATGTATTCATTTTTAACAGAGGTACTCTGGAAATTGAACCCAGGACCTCGTGCATGCTAGGCATACACTCTACCACTGCACTATAGCCTCCCCTTGTTTTATCAGATTTTTAAATATAGCAGACCCCATTGAGCTTCACAAATGTAAAGGAGGAGAAAGTATTTGCCTTGTATCTTTATAGAAGATAAATACATTAAACCCACTATTAAGAAGCCGATAGACACAACATTTTAAACTGACTATACGTCAATAAAAATGTATTTTAAAAAGTCTGTAGAAAACATTTTAGCAGTAGGTAAAATGAAAGCTCTTAGCTAGAATGAATTCAAATAAATGGAAATGAAATGAAATCTAGAACTATTTTAGTTCAAATAGCTGAAAATTAGCTGATACAGTGCACAGCAGATATAATCCCATAGACACTGCAGATTTTTAAAAATTCTACAGAGCAGAGCTGGAGGAAAAGAGGAAAAAGTAGTATTAACATTATTATTCTCATTACTTAAAATGGTTTACTTAAATACCTCAGTATGTAATACTGTAAGTAATAATCATTTTTTTCCTCCACAGGCAAGAAGTTTGATAACTGTAGGGCTGGGTATCGCAGCTCTTGGATTTGCAGGTAAGACAGGAGAAATATTTCCAAATAGCTTCTAAAGTGATTCATGAGAAGACTTCTGGTATTCTGAGGCTCAGTTTCAAGACATACCTCCTCCATCTTTACAACATTACAGTTACTGAACATCCGTTGGCATAGTGAAATCTAGATGAATTCTGTAGTGAAGAAAGTTAACGACAGAAAAGCTAGGAAAACTAGCCCCATAATAGTTGATCTTCCTGATACTTTTTTAGTTTGAACTATAGTGAACTATTAAAAAATAAAATCTTTAATATGAAGCAGAATAAGTGATAGGAGGCTTTTATTCTCCTATATATTTTTTCTTGCAGATAAAATTACACATTTTCTGAGCTGTCAGTTCTTTCTGATGAGCATATTCATTCCCTATAGTATATTTATTACTTCATTTTTAATGTATTGGTGTAATTTCTTTGACAAACCCAGGTTAATTTTTTTACTGTGTAAATCACCTTTTTAGAAAGAATAGATATAAAGACTTAAAGTAAAATTGCTATCTCTTCTAGTCATTAACTTACAGTTCTAAATTGCATAGCTCTTCTCTAAATGTCAATCTGAAAGCATTTCCTTGTTGATAAAGGTTTACATTTTTCCTTTAGCTTTTGTGTCTCTTTGGTTCCATGGGTTTGGTCTTCTTAACTGGATCTTCTGTTTAGGAGGAGCCACATTCCACTGTAGTTCTATGGAGTTTGGTAGGATCCGATAGAAAAATGAGACATAAACGATTTTGTTTTGTTTTGCATAGTATTTAACTTCCCACAACTCTCTTTTAAAGCACCTTACCTAAAAGAACTCTAAAATCAGGAAGGTCAGTGGTTCACATTCCTTCCCTTGGTCCTTGTGCCATCAGTCTTGTGTCTCACACAACGTAACTATGGTTAACTATTTACTGAGGTTTCATGAGAAGAATGTCATATCTTAATAGGAATTCTGACAAATTTGCCCATAAACATAAAACAGTTATAGTATTAATGATTATAGCAGAATAGGCATAGTCATTTCAAATTCAAATGTCAGGTTTTTATTTGAAATTAGAGAAAGATGTGCTTTTGCCAAGGTCTTCTTTCTAAAATGAAAATTGGTGTATGTATTCTGTGCATACTACAGTGTTGCCAAATTTATTTTACTAACTAGAATATAAAGTAACAGTCAGATCTCTTCCAGGGTCAAATACAACTGAATAATAGAATTTAGGAGAAGTTACCCCTAGACTTTTGGAACTAGGTCTCCTTTATAAGTAAGGTAAATGTCCAGATGTCACTTCTTGAAGCCTTTAACTGCTTTTTCACATTGAGACTGCCTGATTGTGGTTTTGAAGGAATTTTGAGGTAATTTAAATGCTATATTTTATACTATTATAGAGTCAAATGGAAGTTGATATCTATATGGTAAGAGATTTAGATGAGTTAGGGTTTCAGCTTCATTAATTTTACTTTATTTAATGTTTTCCTTGAGCTCAAGAGCTTTTTATCTCCTACCTGGATTGGCTACTTCACATCTTCCTATTTCTAGCATCCTGGTTTTCACTGTAACATTGTTTGTGTAAGAATAACTGTATATTTAGACAGGTAACATCTTACAGAAGAGCTTTGTAGTTGAACTTTCCCAGCAGAAATCTTGATTTGCAAATAACGTTATGATTAGAAATTGAAGTCATAACTGGTTTTCCATCAAAGCTTTGGGAAAAGAGACACTAGTATTAGTAGATTTCTGATTAGGGTATAAAAGGTAAACCAGCCAGATAATGTTTTATTCTTGTTTTGTGCCCTCAAAACAACTTAGAACTTGTTTTGCTGTTGGTACCTAGTTGTCAAGACTCAGGGGTTTTCTGTTTGTTTGTTTTTTAATGGAGATACTGGAGTTTGAACCCAGGACCTCGTACATGCTAAGTATGTGCTCTAGGCACTGAGCTATACCCTCCCCTCGACTCAGGGGAGTTTTGATTATGAGGATGCCTAAGAAAGGAAAGCACTAAAATAAAGTAAGTTTTTAGGGAGAGAAGTCATCCTTAGTGAGAAATTGACAATAAACATTAAAAGTATTTCCTACATAATTGCTTTTTTATTTTAGAGGTAACTCCATAAAAATCACTCCTTTTGTATAGATCATAAACACTACTCATTTTCCATATATTTTAAAGTGATGATCATTGTGAAAAGCAATATAACTAATCATTTTAGATTCATAAGTATCTTTATATGTAAAGGACTTTATCTACAGTTTGTTGTGAAAAAAGAACTAGGATGTAGTTTTTTGTGTGACCTGTAACATCGTATAGATGTGAGATTTTATACATAAGCTTTGAAATTTCCAAATTTTATAATTACAGACTAGAGCTTAATAAATTTAAAAGCTATGAGAATTATATTAAAATGAAGTCTGTTCTCCATTTAATAAGTTAGACGTTTGAAAAAACACAACTGACTTCTGGTAGATTTTGAAATAGTTGTTGAAGGAACATAGATACTGTTAAGTAAACACTGTGGTGAGCACTTTGTAGGTATTGGCTTTCCTTATAGAAAGTATATTTGCTTTTATTCCTCTTGCTGTTTAGGTCGCTATGCATTTCAGATCTGGAAACCTCTAGGACAAGTAATCACAGAAACTGCAAAGAAGATTTCAACTCCTGTAAGTTAAAGATGGCTTTAGTTAGAAAGTTCATTTTGATTTTTATTTATATGCCATATTTGATAGTAATTAAGAAAAATGTTTTGGATTTTCCAGTGTTTCTATCATTGCCAAGTTTATCTACTTTATTGATTTAATTTCATTATAAGTTTCATGGTCATGTTATATTTATATCTAACTTTATTCCTGGTTTTGACTTCTAATTATTACATTCCTTTTAGTAGTATTACGTCAACTTTGAGGTAATTTATTTTCCTTGTTTAATTAGTATTCATTGATTCATTTAGTGATTGTCCTGTGCCAGGAGCTCAGCATAACTGCTGAACAAAACAGACATGGTCCTGAGGGAGCTTACCCAAGAGTTTATTTCATCTTGAAATATGAAACTCATGTCCTTATACCACCACTGGCCATCTCAAACATAAAATTATAAGATTCCAACCTTGAAATCCTATAGTGTTTATACACTCATCTACCAGCATTACAGCCACTCTGCTGAGCTGAATGTAAGTGAAGAATGACAGTGGGTATCTAAAAGGCTACAGTGTGGTGAACTGTGGTTTGTGACCACTGGAGACCGTGTGAAGAAAACTCACATAAACACTGATTTCTGGGAAATAGAAGATCTGGGATAGACCAGCTTGGCTTGTGGCAGTTTGACAATGAATGACAAAGGCATTACAGGCTTGTAAGGCTTAGTCAGTCATGAACAGTGACCACACTTTCAAAGGATGACATACTGACAGATAATTAAACTCAGGGTCAAAAGAACTGCAAGTGATTTTGCAGACCTATAGATGCATGTCTGTGATGAGAGGGAGCAAGTGTTTATTTTCTGTTTTTCTATTTATGTTTTATTTGGCTAAAGTATTAATAGACATTTAGCATCCATTCGGTGAATGTTCATTAAGCACCTACTACATATCAGACATCATTGTAGGGAGTGGAACATAGTCATGAACCAGACAAGGACACTGCCTTCTAGGAGCTTACATTTTAGTGAAGACTATTAACAAATAAGTAAGATATATAGTATGTGGAAGTGTTGAATGTAGAAGTTTGCTTTTCTTTAGAAAAGGAAAACAGGGTAAGAGGTTGATTCTTTAACAGCAGAGAGGAGTCTGAGATAGGTCAGGGAAGGCCTTTCTGAGAAGACGAGGGAGCAGATCACGTGAACATCTGAAGAAGGCTTTCTAGGCAGTGGGAACACCACAGCGGTCCAGAGGTGGAAATGAATTTTGCAAGATTAACTCAAGTGGAGTATGTAAAAAGAATGGGGGTGGTTTGGGCCAGGTTACTTAGGGCCAAATAGACTACGATAAAGACTGCAGGTGTTATTTTAAGTATGATGGAAAACCTTTGGAAGGTTTTTACCATGGGGGCAATGTGATTTCCATTTTAGATGATCACCACCTGCTGCATAGGGTATAGGCTAGAATGAGCCAGGGGAGAAGCTGTAAAACCCGTGAAGCGGGTATTGAGATAGTCCAGGTAATAGGTGGTGGTGGCTTGAAATAGATTAGTGGGAATGGAAATAATGACATAGTTCTTTAAATGAACGTCATTTATGTCTTGCCATATGTTTATGTATAGTAAATGGAGAGAATTTGAGAAATCATCTCTCTCCTGTTATGGTGACCTTCAGTAGATATGTTTATACCATAAATAGAAGACTCAAGCTTTGTACAACTACATTATTTAACATTGTAAAGAGAGAGAGAGCAAGGAACTAAGAAAATTTTCACTGTTCTGTGGAGGCTCACAGGAAAGGTAGAGTAGTTTAAGAGATTGTTGTGGGTGTCCTGAACCCAGCCCCTGCATTTCTTAAGGAGGGGAAAGTGTTGCATGCCCCCTCTCCCTCTCCTTTGTGGGCTTCAAGTTAAAGACAAGTGGCTTTTGATAAATCTGGCCCCTTTTCCACAAAGTACTCCTCTTGCAGTTTGCAGTGAAACACCTTAGACTATTTATATCATCATCATAATTATACCTCATTGAAGATAATGAGTTTTTAAAATAACTCTTTAAATGTTGTTCCAGAGAAGTTGAGGAACGAAGCGTATGCATACTTTCTCTTGGCACTGATTCCAAAAAGTGTAATTCATAAACAGGGCATAAACTTTTGGATTTTGTAAATATGTTCATTATTGAACCAAACAGAGTTACTAACCAGTAGGACCTGTAATTTTGTGACCATAAATCCCTGTCACTCAGAAGAGAATGTTCAAGGCTCAAGTTCCTATGGGTTCTCTTTTCATTTTTGCTTAAACTTTATTCTCTTGCTTTAAACTTCAACATCATCTTGTTCTTAAATCTCATCTTTCTTGACTGGATAAAGAAGCTGTGGTATATTTATGTAATGGAATACTACTTAGCCATATAAAAGAATAAATAATGCCATTTGCAGCAACATGGATGGACCTGGAGATCGTCATTCTAAGTGAAGTAAGCCAGAAAGAGAAAGAAAAATACCATATGATGTCACTCATAAGTAGAACCTAAAAAAAGGAAAAAAAAGACACTAATGAACTCATCCACAAAACAGAAACAGACTCACAGACATAGTAAACAATCTTATGGTTACTGGAGGATAGATGAGAACTATATTCAGTATCTTGTAGTAACCTATAATGAAAAAGAATGTGAAAACAGATGTAAGTATGTCTATGTATGACTGAAACAGCATGCTGTACACCAGAAATTGACACATTGTAATTGACTATACTTCAAAAAAAAAAAAAACCTCGTCTTTCTTCTCCTAATTTTTCCCCCTTTTGCTGGAAGAGTAATTTTTTTTTCATATAGAATGTATGGATGGTGAATGTTTTGAATTCTTCTCTATTAAGTAGTTTTTTTTGCTCTCACTGTTACCATGTAGCTGCTGGCTCCTTGGATTCTGGTAGAACCAGTATTTGTGCTTTTGGTTTTTAGTTTGGGATGATTTATGTTTGTGTGTGTGTTGTTCAGCTCTGGAATTTGGAGAGGGGGTAGTTCTCTTCATTATTGATGTTCTGAAATTTCACTGGAATTTTTAACCTTGGCTTATGTGAAAATTGTCTATCTTTTGTTCTGTAAGATTCTCTTGTATTTTTCCTTTATTTTTTCCTTCCAGTGTCTCTCTGCTCCTAGAATTCATGTAAGTGGTCTTTCTCAGTGGTTTGGTAGGTTTGCTACAACCATTTTTTTTTTAACTTTTCTTTCTGGTGCAGGGTTGGAAGGAGGACTTCCTTCCTTCCTTCCCTCCTCCCTCCCTCCCTCCCTCCCGCAGGCTCTGTGCTAATGGAATTAGGAATGTTTTTCTCTCTGCTGTTCTGGTGTAATTAATTACCCTGGTGTTATTTTTTTGTATTTGTTGACTGAGTTTCATATTTTCTTCTTTCTTTCCTCTGGTGGATTGTGGTTGCTGTGTTTTCTCTATGTGCAGTCTTACCTGTTTTCAATCTTCCAGGATTTCTTTAAACTTTCTGGTTTACTACTTGTCTCATTTCTTGTTTTCTAGGCCTATTATGGATTTTTCTTGTTTAAAATATCTCTTTTCTCATTTCAAAGGCACTTGGGAAAGCAAAAGGCTTTTATTATTCAGTCTACTGTTTTGAACCAGTACCCTTTTACTTGATTTCTTAAAGTATTAATGTATATTATTGATTCAGCTAATGTCTAATTACCCCTAATTTTTTTCCTAGGGAAAAAAACCCCAAGTCATTTATCTTCTTTTGAGGCTTTTAGTTTTCTGTTTGTGAATTTGTCCTTTTACTTGAATACAAGTTTTTAAAATTGGATTTAAATTGTTTTATGGTTAAGTGAAATTCATGGAAATAACACTAATTAAAATCATCCTTCTGTGGCTCTATAAATCAAATAGATTATTGTACATAATTAAAGTTTATGGGAACTGTATTTCTTCTCAGGACAATGGAGTGATATACTTCTCAGGTTTTCTAGAGGGCTTTTTATGTTTCAAGTTATTGATTGCATAAATTAACTAATGAAGACTTTCATTTAACTTGGTTCATTTCGTATCTTTTTTAATGATATATAGCACTACAGCATTGAATATTAATTTTAGGAGGAAAATTATTTTGATTTTTGTTCATTTATACCTTACAAATAGAATTATGAAGAATAATCATTTGTAAGAGTCAGGTGTATTTCAAATAGACAGCAGAATAAATCCCACTGTTTCTGTTCTTGGAAGTTCTATTAGAAAAATATAACCATCTACTCCATCTGTTTGGTGATATATTTGTTCCTTATTGTAAGCTCATTTTTGTGAATCCAAACATTTCCTTGACCTGCCAGTGTTGTCAGAAAGTGGTTCTGCATTGCTTTGTGTCTGTATATCCTAATATAATGCAATAGTGGTATATTATTTGTAAGTTTCAAGAGGCCTAATTTTAGTTATACTTTATTGGGGGTGATAAGGAGTACAGAGTTACAATTTTCTGCTTGCTTATGACATATGTACTAATTTAAACAGAATAATATATTAAAATACTAACAAATTCTTTAAAAAATTATGTAATATAAAAGCCAACTTTCATATGAGTTTTTAAAATTTTTTATATATATTTTATTGATGTATAGTCAGTTTACAATGTTGTGTCAATTTCTGGTGTACAGCATAATACTTCAGTCATATAGGAACATACATATATTCATTTTCATATTCTTTTTAACCATAGTTACTATAAGATATTGAATATAGTTCCCCGTGCTATATAGTATAAACTTGTTATTTTTTATCTATCAGTTATCATATGAGTTTAGAAGGCATGATTTTCTCTGAAGTTATATGAGTAATTTTTTTTTGTTTGTGTTCTCTGTCTACTTTGCTGTATGCAGCCCCCAAATATTAAATGTCTGTCCTCAAAATGATCTAGTTCCTTTGGAGGGATTGTGATGATTGTGTATGTAGAGATAGACTTACTTATAAGCAGGTATGAGCCTCATCCAGATGCTAGATTTTAAGTAACCTCTTTTTAGTCTCCTTTTCCACCTGGGAAAATCTGAAAATAAAAAATATGCTCAGATATAATACCTGCTTTTAGGGCTGGTGAGCTTCATGAATATAGCGGGAATGACAGTTCATGAAAAATCTTCCATTTATGTTCATTATGCTGAAAAATTGAAATTTCAGAGCTTCCTAACGTAGCTAACTCATAGAAATACTACGGAGTGAGGTATGCATCTAGTAAAAATTTTGGTTGCCTGAGAGACATCTTAAAACCAGCTGTTCTTTTGTTAAATCCCTGTTCCTTTATATATATATTCCCCTATGTATCTCTTATTCCTTTATATATTCCCCTGTGTGGGGATGTGCTTGTGTATATATACACAATTTCTCCACTTTAGCTCGTGTACTTAAACAATTTGATTCCCTTCCTCCCTTCACAACTTGGAGGAGGGGACTGGTTTTTGTTTACTTACTAGATTGTTAATTACTTGAAATTTGAAATAGTACATCATATTCCTCACCAGGCTGGTACATTGATAGATCAGCATCTATGTGATAAAGGACAGAACCTCACTCATCTCATTTGAAAAGTTTCTGGCACATAGTAGGTGCTGAAGTGTTTGTTGAATGAATTAATAACTGCCAGGGAATTATTACCAATGGACATTTATAACAATCTATTCCAAGAGAACAGTTTATGTGAATGACCAGATCTGGCTCCCTGAGACTCATCTTTGAAGCTCTAATAATTTCTTTGCTTTATTTAATTTAGCTTTTTTTAATTGTACAAGTAACTGTTCATTGTCGAAAATTTAGAAAGTAAAAACAAACGTAAGAAAGAAAAAAATTATTCATAATCCCACCACCCAAAAATAACATTTTGGTGTATGTACTTTCTCAGATTTTGTTTTATGAAAGCATACATTTTTTGTTTTTCCTTACAAAAATAGTGGTTCACATTTTAGAAACATGTATACATTCAATCAAGTATTCATCTTTTTCCTTCTGCAAGTTGAGATCATGTAGTTTAAGTTCTCTGGAACAGAGTAAGACAAAGATTAGCAAGCTGTTAGTTTATTAGGGAGTGCCCTTAGGATCAACAGCTCCAGAAGGCGAGAAAAAGAAGAAGGTTGGGGGGGATAATTTAGGCTGCAGTGTAGTCTTTTTTTTTTAAGAATTTATATTTATTTTTATATGTGTATTTTTATTGAAGTATAGTCAGTTTACAATGTGTCAGTGTCTGGTGTACAGCACAATGCTTCAGTCATATATGAACATAGATATATTCATTTTCATATTCTTTTTCACCATAAGTTACTGCAAGATATTGAATATAGTTCCCTGTGCTATACAGGATAAATGTGCTTATCTATTTTATATGTAGTAGTTAGTATCTGCAGATCTCAAACTCCCATTTATCCCATCCCACTCCCTTCCCACCCTGGTAACCATAAGTTTGTTTTCTATGTCTGTGAGTCTGTTTCTGTTTTGTAAATAAATTCCTTTGTCTTTTTTTTTTTTTTTAGATTCCACATAAAAGTGATATCATGCTATTGTTCTTTCTGGCTTACTTCACTTAGGATGACACTCTCCAGGTCCATCCATGTTGCTGCAAATGGCATAATTTTTATTCTTTTTTATGGCTGAGTAGTATTCCATTGTAGAAATATACCACAGCTTCTTTATCCAGTCATCTGTCAGTGAACATTTAGATTGTTTCCATGTCTTGGCTATTGTAAATAGTGCTGCTGTGAACATTGGGATGTGTGTATCCTTTTGAATTAAGGTTCCCTCTGGATATATGCCCAGGAGTAGGATTGTTGGATTATATGGTAAGTCTGTTTTTATAAGTCTGTTTTAGTCTTTTGAGGAATCTCCATACTGTTTTCCACAGTGGCTGCACCAAACTATATTCCCATCAACAGTGTAGGAGAGTGGTTCCCTTTCTCCACACCCTCTCCAGCATTTATCATTTTTGGACTTAATATTTGCAAAAGATGAGACTAACACGGGCTTAATTTCCAGGATATACAAACAGCTCTTACAACCTAATAAAAAAACAAACAACCCAATCCAAAAATGTGCAGAAGACCCAAACAAGCAATTCTCCAGTGAAAACATACAAATGGCCAATAGGCACATGAAAAAATGCTAAATATTGCTAATTATCAGAGAAATGCAAATCAAAACTACAAATGAGGTATCACCTCACACCAGCCAGAATGGCCATCATTCAAAAGTCCACAAATGTCAAATGCAATGTAGTCTCGACAAAGGCCTGAGCAGCCCCCTGGGAGCTCTGAAGCGTGGGTGGGTCATTGTGGTTGTCCCAAGCTGGGGCAAGAGGCCACAAAACTAAATAACATCACCTGGGAAATAACTATAGACAAGAAGTGCTAGGACTGAGTCCTAGAGAACTGTAATTGTTCTTCCCCCACGTCAGCTAGGCGTTAGCTGCGAAGGGGCGTGAGCTGGAAGTTCTTCAGCCAAGGCAGTTCCTGGAGTTTGACCGCTGAGTGCTGTCTGCCAACAGCAGCCCAGTGTCTTGAGGAGGAAGCGCCTCACTTCTGAAGGAGAATTTGTACAGTGTGTAACAGTGCTTACTGTACCATCTTTAATTCCCTGCTGTTTCTCATATCCCATATTCAATCCAAGCAAGTATTTTTTCTGCTTTCAAAATACATCCAGAATGTGACAGCTCACCTCCTCCTCTGCTACTACATTGGTCCATACCTCCATCGTCTCTCACCTAGATTATGTTGTGTCTTCCCAACTGGTCTCCTACCTCCACGCTGTACCTGTCTTTCTGTTCTTCACAGGGCAGTTGACATAATCCTTTTAAAGCCAAGTCGGATTCTCTTACTTGAGGGCTCTGGCTTCTCCTACCACTGAGGATAAAATCCTAAGTCATTTCCATTGCTTCCCAGGCCCTCCAGGGTCTGGCCCCAGGAACCTTTCTCTTCCCACTCTCCTCCTTGCTCAGGCCTCTCCAGCCACACTGACCTTTCAGTCCAGTCTTCTCATCTCTGCTGGCCTACCTGTCTGCTATTCTGGTGTCCTCCCCACTTTTCAGTTTTTCTTCTTCTTTGTCAGCCAGTCTCAGGTTACAACGACGTCTGTCGTATCAACAGTAAATGACTTGGTCAAGGTTATCCAGTGAGAAAGTGACTCTAGAGCTTCAGGAAATGTTCAGGCCTTCTGCTTCTACTTATCTCTTTTATTCTTTCAGAGTAGAAAAATTAATGTATTTGAAAGTGAAAAAAAATTGTTACCATTTTGTAAGTGTTCGTCTTGGTCATAATTTCTTGTAAAGAATTATTGTTTAGTGCTGCCCCTCCCCACACCCCACAATTTCAAGTTGACTTCTAGTAAAATGCATTAGTCTTACTGCAGCTGTGTGATGGGATTGAGGTCATGCCACCTCATACGTGAAACTAATTATTTCTTGCTCTTTCGTTCCTGTACAGAGCTTTTCATCCTACTATAAAGGAGGATTTGAACAGAAAATGAGTAGACGAGAAGCTAGTCTTATTTTGGGTGTAAGGTAGGTGTACTGCATAAGTATTATTTTGTTTTATGGCTGAGTTTGTCTTGAAAAAGCAAAAAAATGTGAGAGTAAAGTTATCCTTGTATTTTAAATTACAAGTAGGAGGCAGAGGAGAAAATACCAAATTTTTATATTTAAAAACCTCAAATCTAAGAGAATATCCTACTCCCCTTAAAAAAATCAGGCATCGTTGTGATGTGCTTTTATTCCTTAATAAGGAGCTATTATATTTGAAGTTTCAATGCAATTATCGAAATATCCCTTATTGTGGTGCTGAATTCTTTCTGGATTCAGTTGTATAATTTGATGTATCATATTTTTAATTATAATATGGGATCTGTTTCACAGTTCTTTTCTAGTTCCAAAATTTTACATGTAGCATATTTTATTATACTTGTTCACCTTACTATTCATTTATTTTTCAACTTCGGACAGTGTAGGAGAAAGTTAATGATTTTGTGTGATTGATGTATGATATCATTTAACACTTAAAGTTAAGAAAACGTACCCTCCCATAGATTTAGCAGTATTTATATTTGTTTACCTTATGTTCCTTTAGAGCCCACTCAAATTTTAGAGCAATGTTACCTACAACAAATCTTACAGTGATTTAGTCAACGTAATTAAGCAGAACAGATCCTAAAGACCTCATTGACATAATTTTTTAATCTGTTGTAGATTAGCAGATTTTTAAGGTCAAAACATTTTATTATTTCTTATGACCAATCAAGAAGAACAAGAAAGTGACCAGGGGAGGAACACCTCAACGTAGCTTGGTGCTTCATTTAAATATAAGAAGGAATGAGCTCTCTCACGGAGAATACAAAAAAGGAAATGATTTTAAGCAGGTGAACCAAATTAGGAGATTAGCCATATTGCTAACTATTCCTCGCTTTAATATTATTCAGAATGGCATTGTTATTTTTTTGAACTTTTATTGGGCCTCCACATTATCTCATTCATAGACCTAAAATGTGACTACGAATTACGTTATAAAACCAAGCACAACGGTTTTTTAGAGTATCATTTAATATCATCCAGGGTACTTCTGTTTTTAGGACGGGTATCTAGGAGTTGACTTAAGATACATGATTATAGAGTTTTATCCCATTGAACTGGAAGCTGTGCAAAATTTCACAAGGAAAATTGATTGGCTAACAGCAAAGCCTTTGATTACAAGTGAATCTGGGTACAAATGCCAATTTTACATCTATTAGTGGCATGTCCTTAGTTTCATTACTTGTAAAATGGAGATGATACTAGCTTCTACTGCATAGAGTTGTTGTGAAGATTAACACATATGAAACTTTTAACATAAACATAGCACTTAGTTACTACTCAGTAAATATCAGCTAAGCAAACAGATCCTCATCCTGAGTCTGTCGCTGAGGCACTGGTCAGGTTATTTTCAGCTTTTCTGCACTTTAGCATCTTCATTTTTCATTTGGAATGAATGATATTTTGCCTTATTGGAAGATGGTAAAATGATATGAGAGGTGCCTTTTTATCAAAGTGCCCACCAGATAACATATGCCGAATAAATGTTGGCTCCACTCTCTTCGCATTTCCGTCATGAATGCAGAAGCTAATATTTGCCCGTAACACATTAAATAGACAGGTAAAATTTATTTGCTTTTCTCTAGCCCTTTCTTTCTGTCAGACAGTGTTGATTTTGAGAAGATTCTTCAAGCTGTGAATGCATTTCTGTGGTCAATGAGTCCAAATGATTTAGACTATATAACAAGTAGATAAAGACAAGGCAAATGGAGCTGACTCTGTTGATACCCTATTTAAGAACAGAAAAATTCTCTGTGCTACTAGATGGCTATATATTTATTCTTACATATTGCATAAAGCCTAAAATATTTTACTGAGCTGCCCAGGAAAGCTATTATTATATCTGGTATTTTCTGAAGTGATACACACATTTGTGTTTTTCAGACTTTCGCAAAACTTCTGTGGAACTCTGTTTAAACTAAATGTTATTCAGTAGACTAGTTGTAAAAAAAAGAAAGAAAGAAACTAAAACTGCTCCATTTGCTTCAGGATCAGGAAATACCGTTCCGTTCCACACACCCCACTCCTCTACCCCGAGTCACATGCATTCCAGGGAGCAGCTTGAAATCCCTGATCTAGGCAAAATGGTATTTAAGGTTACATTTTCAGTTCATGGTGAAATTGTCTATACTGGAGATACATCAGAGCTACATCTAATTTTTACACTTTGTTTAAGAGCTAGGATTCTCCCATCTTGCTTAATCTTTACAAGACCAGTGTCAAGGAGCTTATTTCCTGTATTTTCTTCTAGGAGTTTTAAGATTTCAGGTCTTACATCTAAGTCTTTAACCCATTTTGAGTTAATTTTGGTGTATGATATAAGATAGGGGTCCAGTATCATTCCTTTGCATGTGACTGTCCAGATTTCCTTTTCCCAATAAACACCATTTATTGAAGAGACTATCCTTCCCCTCATTGTATATTCTTTGCCCCTTTGTTGTAAATTAATTGACCGTACATGCATGGGTTTATTTCTGGGCTCTGTCCCATAATAATCTATGTGTCTGTTGTTAATGCCAATACATACTGTTTGATTACTAGAGCATTGTAATATAGTTTGAAATCAGGAAGTTTGTTCTCCAGCTTTATTCTTCTTTCTCAAGATTGCTTTGGCTATTCAAGGATCATTTGTGGTTCCATACAAATTTTAGGATTTTTTTTTGTTCTGTTTCTGTGAAAATGCCATTGGAGTTTTGATATAGGTTGCATTGAATCTGTATTTTGCTTTGGGTAGTATGGACATTTTATTTACTTCTTCCAATCTGTGAACGCAGAATATCTTTCCATTTATTTGTGTCTTCCTTAGTTTCTTTCATCAGTGTCTTCTGGTTTTCAGTGTGCAGGTCCTTGGTTAAATTTATTCCTGGCTATTTTATTCTTTTTGATATAATTGTAAATGGGATTGTTTTCTTGATTTCTCTTTCTGAGAGTTTGTTATTAGTATATAGAAACACAATAGATTTTTGTACATTGATTTTTATATCCTGCAACTTTACTGAGTTTGTTGATTAGTTCTAACAGTCTTTTGGTGGAGTCTTTAGAGTTTTTTTTATATATAACATCATGTCATCTGCAAATAGTGACAGGTTTACTTGATTCTTCCTTTATGATTTGGATGCCTTTTATTTCTTTTTCTTGACTGATTGCTCTGGCTAGGACTTGGGATACTATGTTGAATAAAAGTAGCGAGAGTGGGCAACTCTGGCATGTTGCTGATCTTAGAGGAGAAGCTTCCAGCTTTTCATCATTGAGTATGTTAGCTGTGGACTTTTCATATATGGTCTTTATTATGTTGAGGCCTATTCCCTCTACACCAACTTTGTTGAGAGTCTTTGTCATTAATGGATATTGAATTTTGTCAAATGCTTCTTCTGTGTCTATTGAGATGACCATGTGCTTTTTATCCTTCATTTTGTTACTGTGGTGTATCATATTGATTGATTTTCAGATGTTGAGTCATCCTTGCATTCCTGGAATAAATCCCACTTGATCATGATGTATGATCCCTTTAATGTATTGTTGAACTTGGTTTGGTAATATTTGTTGAGGATTTTTGCATTTGTGATCATCAGGGATATTGGTTTGTATTTTTCTTTTCTTGTAGTGTCCATGTCTGGTTTTTGGTATCGGGGTAATGCTAGCCTCATCAAATGCATTTGGAAGTGTTTCCTCCCTCTTCTATTTTTTGGAAGAGTTTGAGGATTTGTATTAATTATTCTTTAAATGTCTGATTGAATTTAGTGAAGACATCTGGTCCTGGACTTTTCTTTGCTGGAAGTTTTTTGATTGCTGATTCAGTCTCATTAGTAGTAATTGGTCTGTTTAGATTTTCTATTTCTTCAAGTTTAGTCTTGGTAGGTGGTTTGTTTCTAGGAATTTATCCAGATCTTCTAGGTTGTTCAATTTGTTGTTATATAATACAGTTCACAGTAGTCTCTCATCCCTTGTATTTCTGTGATATCAGTTGTAATCTCTCCTTTTTCATTTTTGATTTTACTTGAGTCTTCTGTTTTCTTGGTGAGTCTAGCTAATGGTTCATCTGTTTTGTTTACATTTGCAAAAAAAAGGGCTCTTAGTTTCTTTGATCTTTTATTTTATCTTTTTAGTCTCTATTTCATTTATTTTCACTGTGATCTTTATTATTTTACTTTGGTTATTTTGGGCTTAGTTTGTTTTCTTTTTATACTTCACTGAAGTGTAAAGTTAGGTTGTTTATTGCTATAAACTTTCCTCTTAGAACTGCTTTAGCTGCGTCCTGTAAGTTTTGGTATGTTCATTTGTGTCAAGATATTTTTTGATTTCTCTTTTGATTTTCCCTTTGACTTAAGAATTACTTATTATTGAAGACTACTTTATATGCTTATGCAGCAGTTGATAGTGCATTTTAGCACGCTTGACGATCTGTTATTTAGCCCCAGGAGATTAGAAGTAGCAAGTAACAGACAAGGAGCAGCTAGAGACTAGAACACTGGCAGAACTGAGGATTGCATACTGACAGTGTTCAAAACAAAAGAACTTAAATGGATAGCATTTTATGCCCCTTTAGTAGAAGGGCAAGCAAACCTTTGCAGACCTTGAGAGTTTCTTTGCACTCAATTGATACTCATAATAATGCTTTTGAGTCATTCAAAAAATGCTAAATTAGATTTTTTGTACTCCATTTTTTAAAGGTAGGAAATACATAATACATTTTTATAAGCATCCTTTATGTTCATAATAAATAACTACTATTCCTTGAACACTAACTGTGTGCTAGATCATGCTAATCTTTTTACTTTTATTGTCTAACTTATCCTTAAAATAATCCTGGGAGGTATGCTCTGTTTTGTAGTGTCTGTTTTACATATGAGAGAATTATATAAGCAAGACACAGTTTTATAGACAATGAATGAAGTTTTTAAACCTGTCTGAATATCTCTAAAAGTACCTGCTTTTAGCCACTACAGTGTGGTTCGTCCATGCAGATTCAATCATTTTGAGTTACACAGCCACCACCATGTACTTTGAGTCAGCTACTATTATTTCTGTTTGAGACCTAGAAAAGTTAGGTAGCTTAAATAAGCTAGTATAAATATTAACTAGCAATATGAGTATATTGCTGTTATTAGTGTTAATTCCTTTTCTTTACCTGAAAAATGTACTAAAGAGAAGCTTTTCCATTATTGGATAAATTAAACTTTACAGGAATAATTTGTGGTTTATTTAACTTTCTTCTTTAATTTTTGTTTAGACCATAGGCTCTAACAGCCAGCCTTTTCCCATAGGTTTCTCACACAGCTAAATAAATTATGAGCTATTAAGGGTTTTGAGATGCTCTGTCGAAAAATAATATTGAAAGCTAACTATGATGAAATGTTGGTACACATCATGCACTGTTCAAGCACTTTGTCATCATTAGCTAATTTAATCCTTATAATTGTTCTGTGAGGAATATATTATTCCTAGCCCTGTTTTATAATGAGAAAGCTAAGGCATAGAGATGGTAAAAAAATTTGACCAAGGCTCCCCATCCTACATGGCAATGCTGGGATTAAAATCCTGAGTCTGGTAGCTCTACAGTTCAAACACCTGTTTGTTATATATGCTCCCTTCCCTCGACCCCCCGGGTAGCTTGAAGCATAATTTTCTAACTCACAGTAATAGTCTTCAGACTATGATTCCCCTATTCTACCTATTGTGTCTGCTTTTTTTTTTAATTGAGAATAAAGACTGAGATTAAAAGGACTGAAGAAAAGTACATGCAGCAGTGAATCAATGATTTATTTTGATGGTTGGTGGAATTAAGTGACAAGCTGTAATTTCATTTTTACCCACAAGATGGTGAAATTCTCATTAGTCTTTAATTTCTTGAAACTAATATGAACCGTTAATTTATAACCTGCATTTGACATTATTTATTATAAGCACTTTAATTTCTTTTTACAGCCCATCTGCTGGCAAGGCCAAGATTAGAGCAGCTCACAGGAGAATCATGATTTTGAATCACCCAGATAAAGGTAGGTAAAATTCCTGTTTTTCATAATATGTGGATCAGATTATGTTCTGAACCTTTCCATTACTTAAGCTCATTATAAATGATTATATAGTTGAAATGGAAAGTTTATGTGTCACATGTGTTGTGATTTTTCTTGTAAATAAAGGAGCCTTTAGATAGGAGTTCAGTGATTAAGAGAAGTGATGGATTTATATAGTTACCAACTTTTGAGAACTTAGTTATTGATTTTTGTATATGAGTACCTACCCCCTGTTTGAGGCTCCTAGCATTTTGATGGAGAAAGAAAAAAAATAATGAGTTGTAGACTCTTTGACTGTATAAACTAAATCAATTTAGTTTCGTCATGAATTATATTTGTTAAACCTTACACATAAAAGCATAAGATTTAGGGGGTAGTCTCTAAATCTCTAAATGTAAGATGTCACAGATGATTCTGAATTTCTTAATTTTGTTCTGGAAGGCTCTGAGGCTGAGCCCGTTTGTTTTTAACTGGCCAGGTTTTTAATGTAAATTTATCTTACAGAAAGACAATGATTATAACTTTAACTACACTACAGCTGCTTGAGAGAGAAAGCCCATATGCTCATTACTGTTTCTGCTCTAAAATAACAGATGGTAGAAAGTTGCACTCTATTTCCGAAGTCAGAAGTGGGGGAGCAGGGGGCAGAGAGTGAGGGTTTCTTGGATTCTTACTTACAGACTTTTAGTTTTCTAATTATTTTGAAAAAAATTAAACAAATTTTGGATTCCTACCAATCCTGACTCCAAAATAGGCCTCCCCCCCTTAGCTTTCTCACTTAATTACTTACTATAAAAATTCTTTTCACTAAATGTCATCTCCTTTGGTTTTTGCACTTGCTGTTCTTTAGTGTGAATAAATAAGAGAATAAACTTTGAAAAGAGGTTTCGCTTAAAATTGCTAAATAGCTTCAACAGTCACTAAAAGATCCATTCAATTAATTTACTTTGCATTGTGGTCTTTCAGAGTAATTGACTCAGAAAGAAATGTGTTTAAGTGCCTCTTTGAAGCCCTCTACCTCCTAAACATCTTCTGTCCCTTCCAGGTCAAGTATATGCCCTTCTCTGATTGATTGCAGTGGGATCAAGTGCTCATGTCTTTCGGATGATTGACAGGTTGTTGGTTGTGTCTGCTGGCAAGGAAGCCAGCTCTAAAATGTTTCTACAAGAATATGTATTTTTAAATACCTTTAGTTAAAAAAAAGAAAGAAAGAAAGAAAGAAAATGTTTATGTATTTTATGAGCCAGTAATGTTGAAGGAATTACTTGATTTACTTTGAGATTATATATTTATCGGAAGTGAAGTTGATGTCTGCCCATAGTGTGCTTACTAATATCCTTCAGGCTGGTCTTGCGTTGGTGGCAGAGTGAGGGAGTGGACCTGGAAGCAGGAGGCCAGCATTCTTCTCTGGCTTCTGCCTTCTAGCTCACAAGAGGCTTTGGACACTCCCTTGATCTCTCTAAATGTCAAGTTTATCATCTATAAAGTGAAGGGATTTATTTCTTCTTAGTTTTGATTGAAGTACAGTCAATTACAATATGTCAATTTCTGGTGTGAAGCAAAACGTCCTAGTCATACATATACATACATATATTCGTTTTCATCTTCTAAAGCTTTTTTTGGTTATATGATATAATGTAATGTTTGTATTGCCTATTCAATTAATGAAGAACCTGTACACTGTATCTCTATTCAGATCACATTTTAACTTAAGAAGGATACTTTTAATCAAACGTTGTCAACCACAGTTGTGTTGACAACTGTAGACATCTTGTCTGTATAATTGCTCACTCACCCAAAATTTTAAAACATTTGCAATTTCAGAGTTCATAGGCTTCTTAAAACCCATTCGTATACTCATAGTTAAGAACTCCTGCTTTAGTAAAAGTATGGTGAATTAAAGAATATTGCAGCTACTTGAGGGAAAAAAAAAACTCACATATGATGGAGTTGGGAGATGATAGCTTATAAACGTGGTAATTGTCTCTTGAGAAGGAAGGTTGTTTTGTTTTTCCTTGTTTGTAATGAGAAGAAGATAGATTTTTGTTGTTGTTGACTTTCACAGTGGTTTCTATTTTCTAATTTCTAATTCTCCAGCAGTTATAATTTGCTTTGGCCAGGTCATGGAGTGGTTGCAAAACTTGACTTCTCTTCCGAGTACTTCTGAAATTTATGAATGTTCTTTTCCCTACCACCCCACCCGCAACTGACTTTTCAGTTGGTTTTACTGCCAGCTGGTAAAACAAAGCTAGAACTTCAAGTGTGTGATCAACTATAATCTGTTACATATTTCATTATCAGCTTGTGCAAAGAAAGTGACACCAGAAAATTAGGTGTGGGAAATGACTGCAAATAAATTTTTTGTAGCCAGTTTTAAATGAGCATTCAGATGTGTTTTGGTGAAAAGTAAATTTTGCCTTTTGAATTTAGTGAGAGAAAAGGTTAATGTGGTAAAAATGTCTCAGGTCTTTGATCTGATGTTTTCAAAGTACCTTTTAGATTATAGTTTTTTAAGTTACTGGAGGAAAAGTTAGTTGTTATGAAATCAGTAGTTTGATACGAAGGCCTAATGAATATAGAAAGGAAGACAGGCTAGTTAAAGATGAAAGACTGTAGAACCTCAGAGATCTCTCATAGACTTATCTAATCCAGTGCTTCTCAAAGTGTGGTTTGCCTTTTCATGCTAGACCACAATTTGTTACCTTTGTCTAACAAATTAAAAATCGAAAGGGACCTGGGTATAGCTCAGTGGTAGAGCGTAGAGCACATGCTTAGTGCGCACGAGGTCCTGGGTTCAAGCCCCAGTACCTCTATGTTAAAAAAAAAAAAGCACTACAGTGTTAACGTAAATAAAAATGAGGATGTTGTTGGTGAGAAATATATATTAAAAAAATCTAAATTAAGAATTCAGAAATCTTTATAGCTATTTGACATGGCTATGATATCCAAGTATGGGATACTTTTGGGTTTTGTAAAAGTGTTAGTCCACCACAGATTAGAAAAAAAATTTTAAGTACTTCACCGTATTTTGAAGATGCTGATCTAATCAATGCTGCCTCCTAAATCACATTGTTTCTGCTCCATCCTGGGGAAAATTCCCTGTTGGCTCTTCTTAAAGATTTTTAGTGATGGAGAACTTCCTGCTTTGTAGGGCAGCACTCTGGTAGACAGCAGTAACTACTAGAAAGTTCTTTTTTACATTTAGCTGAAATCTGCTTGCCCACAGCAAAGTTTCTTAGTCTTTGTTCCATGTATGTCCCCTTTCAATACATAAGATTCTCTTCTTTAATAGTATTTAAATCAAAATTAAATTAAATATTGGGATTAAAAACAAATCAAAGTAATTATACTGTTAAATGGGTTTTCCCTAATTACTCTAATTGTAGAAGAAGCTAAATTTGACATGAAGCCCTGGTAATAATATAATTTATTCCAATATATTATAAGTAAAAGATGTATCATAAACATTTAGAAAATATATGATAACTAAGAGTCAGCATGGAATCAGTAAGAAAAAAAAGGTCATGCCTAATTAGCTGGATTTCCTTTTTTTTGATGGGTGCACTAGATTATTATTTATTTCAGAGGACTCATCTTTCATTTCCCTTCATTTCAACATTTTATTAGGTTTAAGGTTTTGTATTTGAGTTAATTATTTTTTGGTAAAGAGATAATTTTGTTTTCTTGCACATTAATTTTCCTTGGTAAGTGCTGAGATCTTTAAAAATAATGAACATGGCTTATTTATCTTTAAAACCTACATGGTTGATATTTAATAAATTCTAATTTTTTTCATGAGTGAATGAATAAGAAAATGGATAAAAAGAAGGCATACCAATGAAATTTACAGGTAAAATAGTATTGGGAGTGAAAACAAATATATAATAATCACATCAACATTTTAAAAGACTCATTAGATTGATATGAAATGACCTGAAACTATCTTATTTATTTAGAAATTATTCATTCAACTTCTATGTTGTACCAGAACGTTGCGTTAATAAATATTGAGGCTTACACTGTAGAACAGGTCAACTAGGTGTTTGTCCTCTTCAGGCATACGTTCTAGTGGAGGGACAGACAAAAAACAAGCAAGCCTATTTCAAGTTGTGGCAGGTGCAATAAAGGTACAGTGGACTGAGATTATAGAATATGGGAAAGAAGCAACTTTACACGGGCTGACTGGGAAGGCCTCTCTGAGGAGACCTGAGGGATGAAGAGAAGCTATTCCTGTGAAGAGTGATTGGAAAGTAAGGGAGCTAGCACGTTCCTGGAGGAAAGAACTTAGTGTGCTTAAGGACGTGGAAGAAAACTACTGTGGTAGGGGTTTAAGAAACAAACAGAGAGGTTGTGCGAGGTGAGATGGTGCCCAGATTTTGAAAACAGTATGCTTTCTGATAAAGAAACACTGCAGGTTCTGTATAATATTTGAACTTTATTTATTATGCTGTCAGGTTTTATGCAGTAGAGTGATGTAATTCAATTTACTTTTTAAAAGGTCACTTTTCTGTTTAATCTCTTATTTTTAGGTTTGCTTTGTATTGAAGTAGAATAAATAGGCAGAGAAGTGCATAGATCATGAATATATATCTAAATAAATTTTTACAAATACACTCATGTAAACAGATCATCTGAGTGATCATTCATTCAACAGATATTTATTTAAGTAGCTAATGCAGTTGGTGAACTAGACACTGAACAAGATAGCCACGGGCCTTGCCTTCGTGGAACTTGTATTGCGCTGGGAGAGACAGACAGGACGTAGATTAAAAATGGCCACACGTTCTTCACAGCACCTCTCATCAAGAGGTGGTCTGTTTCCTGACCATGTATATTCAGGCTGTCCTTGTCACTTGCTTTGACCAATAGAGTACAGCAGAAGTGACACGGTATGTATTCAAAGCCTGGGCCTCAAGAAGCATTGCAGCTTCAGCTGTTAGATCTTGGAATCCAGACACCACCACATGAATAAAACCAGGTTC